ATTTGCACCATAAGACTTGACAGGGCAGCTGCTCCTAGTAGCTAGAATGACACCAGGGTTTTGGGAAAACGTAGACGGGGCCAGTCTTGCCACTTGAAACATGAAAGTGTGGGATATTGCATGGCTGGAAAAGCTAACGAGGAAGCCAAGAGTCCTCTAGGGCCAAAGGAACAAAGGGGGAGTTCATACCTTTCTTCTCTGACTTTGTAAGCAAGGAGGAACATGGCTGAGGACCACCAACCCCCTTGGCCCACAAATGAATATGGCCACTGACTCGAGGCAATCCCTTTCCATTACAGTCAAACCTCCCGTTTGGCTTCCAAAATGTTTGACAACTGAAGCGCAGCTTCCAGTTGGCTGCAAGAGCCTCTTGCACTCAAGCGGAAGTTGCATCAGATGTCTGGCTTCTGAAAAGCGTTCGAAAACCGGAGCATTTACTTCCGGGTTTTGGCATTCGGGAGCCGAGGTTTGACTCTGTTATGGTAAGGTATGTCTTCCATAATCCTGCCTTGTTTAAACATTACTCCCATGCCATAAACCGTTCCAGTCAACTTCCAGAAAGATGGACTGAAGAAAGCTCACCTGAAGACAGCGGCGGAGCAAGCCGATCGGGCACTTGGGGCAGCGCTTGTGCCCTGTGCCCAGGTCCGGGGCCAGATGTGCGTGGGGCGGGGCCAGGCAGGGCAAGAAGCCTCCAAGGAGTCTGCCTGCCTCCTCTCACTCAGCCTACAGCTGAGGGGGAGGTGGTGGGCAGACTGTTTTGGGCAGCGTGGAGCCTGCAGGCCCTGTGGTGAGTGCCGCCTGGCATTTTGTCCCCCCTCAGTGGGGACACCCGGGGCAGACCGCCCCCACTGCACCCCCTTCCTACGCCCCACCTGAAGAGTCTCCCACGAGGCCCAAAGAAACCCAGGACACTCAAGCGCAGGATAGTGCCGAAGGCACCCACTCAAGGAGAGTGCATCCTCTAGAAAGCAACAGGGGAACCTGACCACATTCCAGCTCTCACTCTTTCGATGGGAACAGCCTCACGCTGCCTGTCAAGCTGGGAGGGCTAGCAAGGATGCCACTTAGCTGAGAGAGACAGGGAGAGCCGGCCAGGCTTAGAACAGCTGCTGAGGGCTCTGTGTCTGCCACTGGGCACAGGTCAAGGACTGCCTGTTCAGATCAAAATCAACTGGAAACAAAAGAAAGGACAACTGAAGTCACAAGAACAAGCTGACATTTGCAGGGTACAGGATAAGGAGGGAAAGTCAAGGAGGCAATGTGGTAGTAGACACTGGAAGGTGGCTGGTAGGCCGACCCAACATTTATGGGATCTGCAACTTCTTGGAGTTGTTATGGACAAACACATCAGAAGCGTTGACCTCCTGAGCTGAGCACTGCACTGTAAGGGCTTGACAACAGCATTGTTCCAGAGCAAAGGAGAAAAGCCCATTTCCTGAAACAAAGAAATTCACAAAAAATAGCAAAATAAATGGTTTCATTTAGTGCTAAAGGATAATAAAATTGTGATCCAGGGACAGAGGGGACTTGACTCACGGCATGAAAGGAACAAGGACGCCATAATCCTCAAGATGTATCAGGCATGTCGCCATCAGTCCCTCATCATCTCTGGTGGTGCCCCTGCTTTGAGTCTGGTCCTCCGCATCTTCTTCCTGCTCATCACCTGCAGAGGGTGCTATGATGGTGGAATGCAGATCTGGGCTGTTACATGTTAGTTGTGGGAAGTACATGAGGTTTTGTGTTTCTTCCTCTGTTTGCTCAGAAAGATCTTTTGACAGCTTTGTTAACTACCTGTCCTGATCTGCCTTGTCCTGCTTTTAAGCCTATAATTCTATAGCCTTTTCCTCCAGAATAATGAGCTATATAGGATTCCTTCCTGTGCTCCGGTATCTAGCTTTTGCCTATTTTCTTTGGATATTTTAACTGTCAGATATGCTTCACATGTGTGTGACAAGTTGGGTGTTCTCCCATGCCAGAGTTCCAAAGGTGTGCGTGGAGCTCCCTTGGTTGGCAGTCGGTTTTGGAGATGCACCGCAGTGGCTGCTGGGTCTCCCCACATTCACTGGGGAAGATTTTCATCCTTTAGCGTGCAACATCTCATTTCCATAATGGATCTAAACTTTCTCTCTACAATATGTTGTGGGACAATCCCTTCCTTTTCATGTCAACTGAACAGTACTCACCCTGTTTTCAGTCCTGAGAACTGTAGTTTTTCTCTGGAGCTTGTAATTCGCCATGACAATAAACAATTGTTTAGTCGTTTAGTCGTGTCCACCTCTTCATGACCCCCTGGACCAGAGCACACCAGACACTCCTGTCTTCCACTGCCTCCCGCAGTTTGGTCAAACTCATGCTGGTAGCTTCGAGAACACTATCCCACCATCTCGTCCTCTGTCGTCCCCTTCTCCTTGTGCCCTCCATCTTTCCCAACATCAGGGTCTTTTCCAGGGAGCCTTCTCTTCTCATGAGGTGGCCAAAGTATTGGAGCCTCAGCTTCAGGATCTATCCTTCCAGTGAGCACTCAGGGCTGATTTCCTTAAGGATGGATCGGTTTGATCTTCTTGCAGTCCATGGGACTCCAGCACCAGAATTCAAAAGCATCAATTCTTTGGCGATCAGCCTTCTTTATGGTCCAGCTCTCACTTCCATACATCACTACTGGGAAAACCAGAGCTTTCACTATACGGACCTTTGTTGGCAAGGTGATGTCTCTGCTTTTAAGATGCTGTCTATAGTGTTTCACTTTTCTCCTCTAGAAAATACACAACAGAGAGTTATAGGGAAATGGGGGGTGTCTTTACAGCCCAGCTCTCCATCAATAATAATAATAATAATTTATTATTTATACCCCGCCCATCTGGCAGGGTTTCCTCATCCACTCTGGGTGGCTCCCAACAGAATATTAAAAACACGATGGAAGATCAAACATTAAAAACCTCTCTAAACAGGGCTGCCTTCAGATGTCTTCTAAAAGTCAGATAGCTGTTTATTTCCTTGACATCTGATGGGAGGGCGTTCCACAGGGCGGGTGCCACTAAGAAGGCCCTCTGCCTCAAGGGATTCAGTGTCCCCCTAAATTTGTTGTCAGTCAGAGAAAATTAAATGAAGGCAGGAACTAGTGAAAGCAAGGGAGATATTTATTTTTTCTGTTGCAATAGAGTTCCAACACAGGTATGAGGGAACTTTTAAAGGCTTTCGAAATTGCATAGCCCCTTAGCCAAGGACCACCCAAAAAGGATCATATACAGAGAGTGTGGCTTGTCTCCTGTCTGTCAAGATATCTGATAATTGTATGCTGATTGCCCTGGACCATCCTTTTGAAATGGTATATACCTTAGTTCCTGACTCCTGCCCACAAATCTGTGCCCATTGCTAAAAGAAGATGTCCCATTAACAGGTCCGCTCTGCTTTACTTGCCAGACTGGTTTTTGCAGAGGGCAAGCCCCCTCATTCCAAGCAGTTTATTTGTTTACAGGATTTACAAGTGAAAAATAACTATTTTGAAAGGTACCCCCCCATACTTCCTTCTACTGCAGAGAAATATTTGGGGTCATCAAAAAAGTCTCAGGATTGCTCTCTTGCACCATTTCAGAAAATAGTTTATGTACCTATGTTTGTATGCCCATCCTGTGTATTTATTGTAGGGACGTGTATAGATGCTAGGAGAGGATATATTTATGAGATACTATCTTTCCTTCCTTCCTCATGTCTGTGAGCTCAGCAGTGCCCATCCCTTTGCAGCTTAAAAGGGAAGCTTAGATAGGCTAGGTTTAGCCTTTATGTTTAAGTAATCCAGGATGCTTTAAGGCAGACTGGATTCTCCTGGCATTTTCGCTTTTTTGTCCACCTTAAAACAACAATCACAAAACAGATGTGTAAAAGGTAAAAACAACAGTTATTCACTCAGAACAGTTATTGAAGAGTAACAGAAACCGCAGCTGTGTTTAGGCAGCCTTAACAAAGATGGTGTCAGTAATGGAGCTCAGACACGCAGATTGTGCTCACATTTCTGGCTTGGTGATGAGATGAAGAGCAAAGAGTGACAAGAGGCAAAGGAGAGGATGTGCCCGTGTCAGGGCACGGTGGGAATGTACTGACTGAGCTACCAGGTGGGCACCAGGAGGCCTCAGCTGAAACTGGCTCTACAGCTCTAGGATTCTCTGATCCCGTGGCGTTGCGCTGCAGACTGCCCCAAATGAGGCATTGAGATGCTTCTGAGCCAATAAGCCCCAAACGCTGCAACCTTTCCCTCCTCCCGCAGCCCCTTGGCTGAGCCTTTTCCAGCTCTGCAGACTTCTTTTTGGGGTTGAGGTGCTTCCTCTCCCCTGAAAAGTCTGAGGTCCTTCTGTCCCAAATCAGCCACGGAGATCTTCCGCTGTAGCGTCACGAGTTCGCAGGGCTCAGCTAACTGCAGTACAAAAAGCTGAGCCTTTGGTGTCATCACCAAGTCCTATGGAACTCTCTGCCACTGGAGATTCCGCAGGTGCAGTCTGTGCCAAATTTTAAACGCCTGCTGAAACCTCTTCTAGTTAAGAATACAACCCCCACAACGGTCAACTGAATATTGTTTCTTTTTTTTTAAGTTGTTTTCAACTTTTTATGATTTTACTGTA